TCTTAAGGAAACCGTGAGTGCTACAAGCTTCAACGATTTCCTACGTCACTGATCATCGAGGTTGATAAACAATAGGTTCTTATCTCATTACAACAAAACCGGGTTTATATGACTCCAAAAATATCTAAATGTCATAAGTGTAGTTTGTAAATGTGTTGCAATAAGTTTATATGACACTTTTGGATATCTTAAGTAATATTTAATGTCTTATAAAAACTGATGTCCTATAAAAATATGTGTTTATAGGACATTTATCAAAAGTATCATGTAAAAAAACTAATACGACAGTTTATTTTAAAAGTGTTCTGAAAAACTTGTCAAGAAGCCCAAAAAGATATAAACTTATTGGAACGCTTTTATATATGACACACAATTGTTTGATCATATAAAACAATCTATTGAACAGTTAACATTTTCGGTGTCATGTAAAACCCAATTTTGTTGTAGTGTCTTTCTTTATTTTTTCTAACTAATTTTCATATCTTGTAGTAACATATCTCAACCAATCTTACGACAATTTTTCGTTATAAGACGTGGACGATTTTTGAAAGAAAATAAAGAGATAAAACTCGTTTAAGCAATGCTGACAACGACGTCAAAAACTTATTGTACACGTCGTCAAACACACAACAAGGTTTCACTTTAAAAGCCACACTTATTCATAGTGATAGGGTAGGCTCGATATTTGTTATTCTTAGGGAGTCGGTGTTAAACAAATTGTTTATGATAAATTGATTTACACGTGTGCTACATATTAGCTACTCAGGGGGTGTTTGGGATTGCTTATAAAAACAACTTATTAACTTATTTCGGTGTAACATTGGTAATAAGCACTTTTGAATGTTTGGATAAACAACTTATACATGTGTTAAACCGGTAATAAGAAGTTTTTGAAGAAATTAAATCATTCTAACTTATAATAAGTTGATAAGAACTTTTGTAGAAAAGCATAAGTTGTTTCAAATAAGCAATCCCAAACACCCCCTCAATCAAACCAATATAAACTTAAGACGGACTTAAAAACAAAAATCTATTTGGCACAAATGACACTAGCAGACGATATATTTTGAGGAGTTGCACTAATTACCGATCATGAGTAAAAAACCGAAGCTTTATAACCAAATAATTACTCACAAGAGAAAATGAATATGAAAAAACATTCAAAACTAATGATATTTGTTACATGTCATTCTCAATGAAATGTATCTACTTTATTCAATGAAACTAGAACACCGAAGACTAAAAGAGTGCAGATCACGTTCATTATTTGAAATAAAAACCACTACTTGAGGCTCAGTCGAGCCCCCACACCCCACGCCAACCGTCATATCCCTTTAGATAGTTCTTTACCCAATTGAATGCAGAAGGTACAACCACCCTTTGAGGGATGGTGATTTGCCCCGATCCGATGGGTAACCCGGCTCACCTGACTTGAACGGGGATGGAGATTCCCCGCTAAAACGGGTCCCGGGATCGGGGCCAGGATCCCCGATAGACTCAAACCAGGGTTGGGGCCGGGTAGCATATCCCCCATCCTGTCCCGTACCCGGTATATAATTTTATTAATATATTGTGTATTATATATATATATATATATATATATTATTTAATTTCTAAAATTAGGTCTTGACTGGGGATGAGGATCGGGGTTTGACCCAAAAATAAATCGGAGACGAGATATTAATCCCCATATTTAAATTAAATTTAAACATATTTTAAAACATTTTGATCCCTTCTATTTTTTATATTTTAAACCTTAAATCCAGGCCCATTTTTCTTTTTCTAATGGCTGTTCGTAAAAGCCCAAATCCAATAAAATTGTAGACCTTTTTAGTTGTTGCTTTAATCAGTGGCTGAATGAGTAAGATATTTCGATGAATCAAAATCCCAGTAATATTAGATAAAATGTGTGTTTTATCAACTAAAATCGTAGCGATTTACAACATTATCAAGTCACAACATTGATTTGGTGACTTGGGTGGAATTATATCGGTTAGACTTGAATCATTTTCTGTTCACGGGGTATTTGAGATTGCTTATAAGAATAACTTATTGACTTATTGCGGTGTGAAACCGGTAATAAGCACTTTTGAGTGTTTGGATAAACAGCTTATACCGGTGCTAAATCAGTAATAAAAAGTTTTTAAAGAAGTTAAACCATTATAACTTAAAATAAGTTGATAAGGACTTTTATAGAAAAACATAAGTTGTTTCAAATAAACAATTCCAAACACCCCCTCGATATATGTTGGAATCTGTCTTTTTCTTCTAAATACTATTCTGAAGAATAAACTAAGAATGCTACGTATTTAAAAAAACAGATATGTACAGGTATATAGTATTTTAAGATTAAAATTTGTTTTACAATATTCAAAATAAATAAAAACCTTTTATAGTTGAATATAATTTTATTTAAAGATTTTTTTTTCTACTTTTATTTCAGTATTTTGGAGAAATTATACCTAATAGGATGGACATGCTATAAACAATTAGTTCTTGTTTGTTTGTAAAAAATAGCTCTTATTAACCTCTTATTAATAATTAGTCAGATACATTAAAAGGTATGACGATTTAGACTGTTTGTTTTCTTCTAATTTTTCAAAGACACTTATGTCTTATTATCCTCTTATCTAGTAAGAGATAAATCAACCTCTTATTTGTCTTTTATTTTTCTCTAGACCCTCAGCAATAACGTTTTTTTTCAATCAGTTAACATTAATCGATCTTTTCTCTCAATTGATCATTACCAAATTGATCCTCACATCTCTCAATTGATGTATTTTAGTAAAATTTAAAAGTGTTAAACCGTCCATGACATATTTGTGTTTAAATAAATGCTAATTATATAATTTAGATGTAAATTTCGTAATAATGATAAATAAATATGTGAAATTATATAACTTTATCTATAAATTCAACACTATGATTCTCTAACGAGTAAAATAGACAATTTAAATAAATTCAGACATTTATCGGTTTATAAAAAACAAAACAGTCTTATTGATCCAGATTTCAGACTTCAACACGACTTTTTATAAAAAATTAGAAATGAAATAAGATTTCAAAATTCAACATCTTTTAAAAAAACAATCGTTACCTTAATTTAGTTAATTAAAATAAATAAGTTTAAACACGTGTACTAATTAAGCTCCAAGCAATTTAACATAACTTTCGTCCTCAAAAATCACTCCATTACTCCACCTCATATTTCCATCATCCACCATTGACCGGTCTTACCGTAAAGATTCGGGATTTTTTGCTGAACAAATGTGTTTTTAAGAAGGATCAAATATTCGTAAGGTCAGGATTTAATTATGTGGAAAAATCAATATAGTTTGACCCAAGGAAAAATGAATTGTGTTGATTTGGGAAATAAAATACATTTTTTTCAAATAGAAGCGATCTTTTAAGCAAAACGTAAAACTACGTCTTAGGCGTTTGATTTGGTTTTGGCTGAAATTTATCGTTTCGAGAGATGTTTTTCAGTTTTTTTTTTTTTTTGTTGACTTTGAGGGATTTTTGTTTAATTAACCTGGATATCCAACCCACTACGCGATCCGACTAATCCCACGGCGACCACCTGCTTTTCAGATAGTCTGAAGTCACCGTATTTGAACCTCCGTGGCCATAAGGGGATTTTTATTCCTCATTGGATTTGAACCTGAGACCTCCTGGTACTTTTGAATTTTGGAGTCAAGCTCAAACCAATCAGGCACCACCCTTGTAGTTACTTTAAGGGACTTTTTCAGTTTATGGTTGATGTTTCTTGTATTTTCTAATATCACGAAATACCCCTCACAGATTAACGTGTACGCCTTTTCATACTCTAAAAAAATTCTATTTATAAAAAAAGTTAAACAGATACACGAAACCCTTATCAAGTCTTGTAAAAGTTATTTACCTTGAAGGAAGGATGATGTTTGTAAATATGTAACTTGTATGTTTCATTTTCTCAGGACAAGTTTCATTTATTTATTTACTTACTTAATTACATTGACTTTGACTTTGAGTTTGACATGTCACAATTTTAACTTTTTTGTGTTTTAAATTGTGACGAATCATATTATATGGAGTAAATTACATTTTTGATTCCTATGGCTCGTTACAATTTTTGAATTTTATCTTTATGGTTTTGAAATTATAATTTTAGTCCTTATGATTTGTAATTCATTTCTATTTTCATGATATTAAACACTACTTTTAAGTATAAGGAAAGAAAATAAAAATAAATTGTAAACCATAGGTACAAAAAAAGTTTTAATTATAAGGACAAAAAATGAAAATGAATTATAAACTATGAGGATGAAAATGGTAATTTTAAAACCACGAGGATGAAAATAAAAATTTTAAACAAACCACATGGACTAAAAATGTAATTTACTCTAATATATGTTACTATGATCCTTTAAATGGAATAGTTATCTCACCTCATTAACAATCGAGCTACATGTCAGAGATCTTTAAAATAGACGTTTTTTATTAACTTGAATATTCAACCTGTTAAACGAGCCGATTAATCGCAGAGCAACTATCCGTTTTGCGGGTAGTCCGGAGTCATCGCATTTGAACCTTCATAACCACAAGAAGATTTTTATTTCTCCTTTGATTCGAACCTGGGACCTCCAGACACTTTTGATCTTTGGAGCTCAAGCTCAAACCAATCAGACACCACACTTGTAGTTAAAAAAAATATTTTACGGATGATATCTTTTATAGGTTTATTTTTTACAAGTACAATAAACATTTTATATTTATGGGTGCCACGTCATTTATATATTACGTAAAAAAGGTTTACTTGATTTCTATACAATCGATTACCAGAATTATTAAATATTTTTTATAATAAATTATTTCAATTATTAATTTCCATAACCAAGTTACATGTGTGATATGAAACACATATTGCACGTAAAGCACCAAATCATTCGAATTTGCAGGTGCCAACTCCCCTATATAACACCTTCTTTCCCCCTTCCAATTTTCATATCTCAAACACAAAAATGGCACTCAATTTTCTCTCTTTCTTGCTCATCTCTCTCACAATCTTCGGCTTTTCGACCATTGTCGAGTCCCGATCTCGTGCAAGAATGTATCTTACATTACAGTGTCGATCAGCGATATATCCTGAACTATGCGTTAAAACCCTTTTGCCGTATGTAGCCAAAACCGGCCTTCCAAGCCCGCAACTATTGGCTCATATTTCACTCGCCACATGCCTATCGAAAGCGCGGGTTACAAAGACCTACTTGAAAATGGTAGCGAAGAAATTGAACGAAACCAAGAGTTTTGGAGACTCCGAAGCAATAGAAGAATGTATGTATCGAATCAATGATGGAGTGGACCAAATAACGCAATCTTTTAAGGAGTTGCAACGAATGGGAAAAGATGGGGACGAGAATTTCGTGTGGCACGAAAGTAACGTGCAATCGTGGGTTAGCGCGGCCTTGACGGATGCGAGCACGTGCATTGACGGAATGATAGGGGATGGGATCGGGCGAAGGGAACGGGCAATGATTAAAGCGAGGTTTTTGAATGTGAAACAACTGGCTAGCAATTCTCTTGCGATGTTTAGTCATTTCACGACACGATATCGTGCATCTCGTGGCATCAAGAATCCGTAAATGTAGTGATTAAAGTGTGTTATTTCTAATTATGTTACAATTTTTTGTGGTCACTTGGTTGGCTGTTTCTTATGTTGTACTTGTTTAATGTGGTACAAATTATGTTGCAATATTGTATACATTTGATTATAATACAAAAGTTTCAATTAGTATCATAACCTATCACCTAACATACTCACAGGATATGGTTACATAACTAACGCTATAACAAAATTGGGTATATAGGATACCCCAATCTCCAAGTGTCCCAATAGACCGCTTTATAGCACTTAATTTATAAAACTAAAATATAAAGTCTCTTATCTAAAGATGTTTTAATAAGTTTATATGACGTTTTTTGATGTCGTAATAAGTTTTTTAGGACACTTTTAATATAAAGCGTCCCATTAACAACTTTATAGGACACTATTTGAAAAGTTGTCCTATAAAAACAAATATCCTATAAAAATTGAGTTTATAGAACACTTTCTCAAAAGAGTCCTATAAAGTTGTTAATGTAACACGTTGTATTAAAAATGTCCTAAAAATCTTGTTAAGAGACGCAAAAGCGTCATATAAACTTATTACCACACTTTTAGATATGACGTTTTATATTTTAATCCTATAAATTAAGTCCTATAAAACGGTCTATTGAGACGCTTAGAGATTGGGGGTGTAAATAGGACTACCATTTTTATAAACATGAAGTGTCATATAAACTTATTACAACGTTTTTAAATAGGACTAACAATTGTTTGGTCCAATAAACTTAAATCTTGTAAATCAAACTATTAAGACGTTTAGACGTTTTATAAAAACCAATTTTATTATAGTGTATCCATACAGGAACACGAGAATGAGGGCCTTTATGAAGTTCGTTGATGAGAAACAAGTACCAAAGCATGAACTTTTTTCGAACAATAGAAGGAGATGTGCGTTCAGCCGCAAATTAATTCTAACCTTAAATGTCAGGATCTGAGATCATGTGTCACGACGATAAAAGTCAAAACCGTCACCGACAACTATATAAAATAACTAGGACCGATAAAACCAAATCAACAACGTTAGTTAAGCAACCTATTGTGATGTAAAAGTCGTCCTCTCTGTTGTGACGACATGGCGTTGCTACAGAGCGGTTAATTCAAAAACGAATAATAAAGTACGAAAAACTGTTCAAGTTCAACAACACCATGTCTTGCTTGGTGCAACCAGATTATCTCCGATTTAGGGGTTTGGTTGGTTATTTATCAAGTCTTGAATGAATAAAGTTGTCTCTATAGATTGGAAAAGTTTTTCATGATCTGAAGGATCACGTTTTTTAATTAGGAGAGACATGTTTGGAAAAAAAAAGTTGGTTTTCTACATAAAGCCCACCACAAAAAAAAGCTTAATGAATAAGTTATAAGTCCCATTAAGCTGCTAAGTAGCATAACATTATACTCATTAGAAAATTTTGCCGTAGACAAAAGTTCAAATAATTTGGGAGAAGTAATTTATTTACTTTAACGTGAGTTACAACTAGTGAGGATTATTATAATACGCGAAGTATCGTGTGAGAAAGAGAGTTAAGGTGAGAAGCGTAAGAATGTATCTGGACCTTTGATGATCACATTAATCTCAAACTCACACATGAATCGCTCTTGATACAGGTTGATCCGTCTCGATCAATTAATGAAATTTACGTAAGCGACGTTTTTTCGAAGGACCATTTTTTGATGGATTCGATGGCACCGAATCCTGTCTTTGAGGATGATGAAAATCACTATCGAGAAGCTTTGCAGTTTCATAGAATGGAGCATTGTACTATATCACCAAACGTAAACGATGTTCAATCTTGTCACAACTTTGATTCAGACGGTAAAGTTTTTAATTTTTTCATTGACCAGATCTCATGCAAACTGGATTTCATGAACATATTAAGGAAACAGATTTCATGCAAATGAACATATTTCATGTAAACAAACAGATTTCATACATATGGGGTCTGCTAATATGCGTCACTTGATATGAAACAGATATTCATGTAAACAAACAGATTTCTTGAAGGGAAATTGACTCAAATAGTTATTTCACTCGTTGAAATTGGTCTCCTAGCCATTTCTCTTCTATGTTTATCCAAATGTCACTACGTGTGCAATATCTACGTCTGTAATATTGTTGACTTGGCTAAAAGACAGAAAAATATTATCATATTCACTCAGGCCCGCAATTACGACGGCTTGCGACGGTGCCACTTGCTAACATGGTGGAATTTTTGAATTTTTTTTTTGTCTTTGAGCAAGGTCCGCAACATTACGGATGTGGATACTGCATACGTTGTGGCATTTGTGTAAATATTGCAGATACGGTTTGGGCCCTTCCTTTCATTTGATGGCATGCGCCTTCTTAGATCTTCTGCCCTCCGGTTGGGGAAGGGTTGTGTGGATTCTGGTCAAACCTGACAAATAGGAACACTTTTTTTTGAAATCTGCCTCCAGCAAGATAGAGCGCCTTCTTTCAATAGCAGTTCTCTCTCTCTTTCATTTGAGAAAAAGTATAGGATTGAGATCTGAACAGGAATTTTTCCCTGACTACGTTTTAGGATGTGGATATTGTGGACATAGTGACATTTAGGTAAATATTGCAGATCGTGGATGTAGATATTGTGGACATGATGACATTTAAGTTATCCCAAGAGAGGAATGACTAGAAAACCAATTTAAATGTGTGGAATGAATATTAGGTTTCAATAGATTTTCATGTTTCCCTTATTACCCTTGAATAATCTTTTAATTTTTTTTAAAAAAATAGAAATTTACATTTACTCTTGGATGTTTGTAACGGTGGATCAAGTTTAGGATCACACTTAATTACTCTTGGATGTTTGAAAAATTATGTACTTATTGGGTGTTTGGGATTACTTATTTGAAACAACTTATGTTTTTCTATAAAAGCTCTTATCAACTTATTATAAGTTAAAAGGGTTTAACTTCTTCAAAAACTTCTTATTACTTGTTTGACACCGGCATAAGTTGTTTAACAAAACACTCAAAAATGCTTATTACTGGTGTCACACTGAAATAAGTCAATAAGTTGTTTTTATAAGCAATCCGAAAGCATACTACCAAAGCATTTGTTTCTTGTGGTGGCGATAACGATATCCCTTTGCCTGTTGCCACCAGATTTATACATAGTTACTGATACTAAAACATCGATACTACTAGTCAACCGTCTCATTCCCTCCATGGGATGGACTAGAATGATTAAGGATTTTTATCAAACGACTTTGGAGACTTTAATTTTCCTGTCTAATTAATATACCTCGTTTTTCAGAGGCAAGTTAGTATATACACTTAATTATAAAGCAATTTAAGTTGACTTTCATTCTTCAAAGATCATTCCAATACTCCAACGCGTATGATCATCAATGGCCTTCAAACTCAAGCCTTTGTAAAAGTTATATATCCTTTGTTCCAAATATATATACATATAGAGAGAGAAATAGAGAGGTGAGTTATTATACAACTCTTTACATTTGTACAACCAATACAAATTAATCTCAACCGTCCATTTAATTTGATGAATATGTGCTTTCATAAAAGTTTTGATTGTTTCTTAATATAAAGTATTGATCATAATTAATGAACTCTATCATCTTCCATAAATATTCAAATCATAATAAATGAACTTTCATTATTTTCATAAATATCTCAATTGATTAGGTTGCATTGGTTGTATAAATGGACATGGTTGCATTTGAAATATACCTCTCTCTCTCTATTTTAAATGCAACTCATCATATTTGTACAACCAATGCAACCCAATTAATTGAGATATTTATGGAAATGATGAGAGTTCTTTTATTATAATTTAAATATTTATGGAATATGACTAACGTTCATTAATTATGATCAATATTTTATATATTATGAAACAATCAAAACTTTTATTAAATCACATATTCATCAAATTAAATGAACGGTTGAGATTGAGTTGTATTGGTTGTACAAATGTAAAAGGTTGCATAATAACTTATATATATATATATATATATATATATATTAAATAAATAAATATAAACATGTAATTAAGAAGGATGATGTTTATTAATCAAGTAACTTGTTTGTTTCATTTGGTGAAGACAAGTTTCCATGAACATCGTTACTTTTTGTTCTCTCAAGTGTTCCTGGTCAAATCATATCTCCGTTGACTATTTTATGTCTAATCTCGTTATTGTAGGATACCAAACGGTTCTTAATAACTGTGAGATATGATGTGGCGGTACGGTCAAGTCTTAAGCTTTGAAAGCTACACCGAGGTTACAACATTTTTCAAGACGTGACTTATGACGGCGAATCTCTATATCGTATATATAATTATACACATAAATATATGTTTTCTACTATACTTGATAAATCAATGATATTAAGCAATATTTAAATTAAGTTATATATTAAAAAATAATAAATAAGACATTAAAAAAATAAGTAAAATCAGATATCATGTTGCAAAAACTGAACGTTAGACACAAGACTTGAGACACGATGCGCCATATCGATTATTACGGCGAGCTTTTTCGAAAATTACCAATATTACGTTATAAGATCATTTCCATCCAATACTTGGATCCCAAATTTTGCACCAATTTTAATATCAATTAACACCAAATCTTATATTATTTTGCCAGGAGATCTCAGGTTCAAATTCAATGATGAACAAAAATCCCTTTGTGGTCATGGAAGTTTAAATGCGGTGACTCCAGGCTACGTGCAAAACAGGTGGTCGTCTTAAGATTAGTTGACTTACATAGCGGATTGAATATCTAGGTTAATAAAAAAAATCTTATATTATTTTTCGTGTTTGTGAATAATTTAATACCAATTTGATGTTTATGTAATTTTACTTTGTTTGTAGGTAAATGATGTTTGGGTTATGATATTCGTTAATATTATAATATAAATTTATGATATTTTATGGATTTCTATTTTATGTTTCGAACTTATTTTTAAAAGTTAATAATTTAAAATACATGACACACACATATATAACTAGAAGGGTACTCACGTAATGCAGCGAGATACATCTTCATTTTAATATTTCATTTTATTTTT